ATATATATATATATATATATATATATATATAATATTCTCAATAATAAAATGTAGAAAAAAATAAATACTTTATTATAAATAAATAATATTGTTTTCATATTTAAAATTTTAAATCAAGTTAACTACTTATTTTTTACAAAAATTGAATTGAAAAAATCGATTAGGGCCTAAATCCTTCCCCTTTTCCAGCAAACATTATATTTACTTTTCAGTTTCTGAAATGTTTTTTATATATTATATATTATATTATGATCCTGCATACAATATTCATGACTTGTTTGACATACATTGAAAACAGAAACTGATAGATTTTTTTGGGGACGTAAAGGCAGGAATTAAAATCTTATCGACTAAAATGTTTATCCATTAAATTAATCATGTATAATAGCTACCAGAAAAAGAAAAAAATATTAAATTATTATAATAATTTTACTACAGAATTCTTATCTAACAGAAAAATTCTTATCTAGTACACAAAATTGAGAGGCATTTACTCCCTAGAAGATACAAATATGACGCAGAATTCACTTCACAAAACCGAACCATTATTATTTGAAGATGATTTTTTTCCCCGAAACCCCACAACATTAAGTTTAGAATTCGTAGATTTGGTGGCACTGACCATTTTACCTGTTTGCCTCTTATCTGCAGAACCTTTTCTGAAGGTGCTACTTGCCCTAGAAGAATTCCCAGATTTTGAAACGTTAATCCCTTTTTTCATAGATTTGACAGGTGAAGCTTTGCCAGATTTTATTACCTGATCCATTATTTCCAGAACTAGAACGACTACCAAATTTGCCCTTGACTTTTGAAACTTGAACCATTTTTCTACCCTTTCCCTTCTGCTCTGTGATTTGGGTCCTTGCAGTGTCCCTTCGAACACTTTCTTTTGTGATAGCCTCCAAACTCTCATTGTTCCTTATTGCTTCCTCTATTTCATTCTTAATTTGCACGGCCTTATAACACTGCTAAGGACATGTGGGAGTATTTGAAATCATCAAGACAATGCTGCTTGGAGGTTTCAATTGGAGTATGAGATGGTTAAAATTTCAGACAAGGAAGTCTATCAATTGAGAAATACTTTTCTGGTTTTCAAAATCCAAAATCGTTTTTTGCATATATGCCCGTCAAAATTAATTCAAAAACTAACAATAATTTTCAATCTGTATTCACCCATACTCGTTGATTAAGGCTTTCCTCTGCTAACGACATAGTACAAAGAAGTAGGTAATGAAGAAGGAGGTTGTCTGTTACATAATGGAAAAACTGACACGGGATCTTTGAATTCGATATCCTCTTTATTATTTCCTTCCTCATACACACCCATTAGGCTCCAACCTAGACTTCCTATACCAATGCTCCTTCTTGTGTTCCCATTTCTACTATTTCTTCGCATAGGGAAGTCCAACTCAAATACAATCTCAGCTTTATTCCACTCTTCATCTGAGAACACCCCCTCCACTTTGCCTTCTAGATCACACCAGAGTATTGTGTCCCACTCTCTTAGTATGAAATTGCACAGAGCACTGAATTGTAGAGTATCATTAATGAATACTCTGAACTTCAAATTCATTACCATGATAATTTTCAACAAAGGCAATAGTATCGAACAACATAGCGCTATCTTAGGAAATTTGTTTCGAAAGGAGAAATGCATAGATGATTCCCTGCGAAAACAAAGCCAGTCCTCTTCCCTTCCAAGTTTTGGGAATAACAAATTGAAATCAGAATGGAAAAGAGGATCAGGACTGCATACTTGGATGGAATTATTGGGACTTATGTATGAATAATACACATCAAGATATAGGTCAGAATCACCAATAAGCATGGCCCTTGGAGACACCTCTGAGCTCAACTGCTCTTGAAAAATTTGATATGCTCCATGCCCATAACCAACTAGCACTTTAACTTTGGGCATTATGCTTATACTACCTGGTAGCTGATGAAGCCTTTCGCATTCCGTCAACGACAATAGCTCAAGCCAAACAAAATTTCCAATTGACAATGGCAATTTGTCTATGCCTGTACAATCTAAATATATTGTCCTTATTTTCTCCATCTTTCCCAATACTTCTGGGAAGCTCTCGAGACTAAAGCACCTCCCAAGATCCAAAGTTTCAAGAGATGTCAACATGATGCAGGAGCTTGGTGCAATAGCTAGCACTCAAGAAGCGAAGCTTATCAAGAAACCCAATTGATTCATCAATGTTAACTAAATTACAGCAATTATCGAGACGCAGAGTTGTTAAGAATGGTGCGTCTCGTAGGCTTGGTAGATCAGTTAAGAACTTGCAATCTTGAAGGCTTATTACAGACAATGATTCCAACATCTGCAACATAAAAACCGAATGGGTCAAGTTATTATCTTTTAATGTAGAAACTCATGGTTCGACCAAAAAATTGGATAAACATGCATTTTGTGGTTTCAACATCTGAAGGCAACTCTCAGGCAGAAGGAGTATCTCAAAACGTTTGGGATTGAAATCAGAAGGTAAAGATGGCGAAGGATAGCAACTCCAGTCTAGCACTCGCAAGCTATTTGGTAGATGCTTGAGGCCTGTAGAAAACCTTGAACCTTCAATAATCAAAATTCTCAAGTTCTTCATTTCCTTGAAGGCTTTTCCATCCCATTGCACTTGTACGTTATTGTACCCTTCAAGCTTTATGAATTCTATTTTATCAGATCCCTTCCACGCCAAGGAATAGTTTATCCACAAAAACATACACTTTAATCAGCTATGCTATCCATGGATAAATATATAAATATTAAATCTAGCATGTAATCAACAAAAGCGGTAAGTTAATAAAAGGATGATAAGAGAAAAAATTGCAGAGATGTTTTTGATTTCAACATACCGTATTTTCTTCCAGAACATGAACAATGTCCTCGTTAAACCATAATCTACTACGTCTGCCTGGCTCAATTGTTGATTCCTGCCTTACAATTTCTCTGCCTGTGTCTCGAATTAGGTCATGTATTCTCACAAAATCAGAATAATCAATCTTTATGAGAGATCTGTCAACCAACACTCTCAAACCATCTTCTACATGAAAACCATGAGCTTTTAGCATTGGTCTGACATTACCCAGTTCCCAGGTATTGAAGAAACAAGCAATGTCTAGGAAAATTCCCTTCTCATTTTCTTCCAAACCATCATAGCTTACTTTTAGTATTTCATGAATTTTCTCATGAGGAATACTTTCATATTTATCTAATGCAGAACTGCACTCATTTATGTTTTTTCCAAATAAGTGGGATCCTATAACTTCCAAAGCCAACGGAAGGCCACACGCATAAGAAACTGCACGCTTGGAAATGTTCATATAAGATGGATCAACTTTACCATTTTTGAAGGCATGCCAGTTAAACAATTCGAAAGCTTTTTCAACGTTTAATGGTTTAACCTCATATAAGTTAACTACCCCATGAGCATCTAGCAAGTGCTTGTTTTTCTTGTGGTGATGATGATTATACTTCCAGAGCCAAACCAATCATATCCCCCTGCAAGTGCCTTTAACTGCTCTAATTCGTCAACATCATCAAGAACTAAAAGGACCTTCTTCTGTTGAAGTCTCCCTTTTAATATTGGTATTGCTCTATTGACATCCCCCACTTTAATACCTTCTTTGAATGTCTCAGAAAGTAGTATTTCTTGGAGTTGGACAATCCCATGTTTATTAATTGCCTTTTCTCTAATGTCAGATAGAAAACACGAACCTTGATAATGCCAAAAGATAGTGTTATACACAGCACGAGCAATCGTGGTTTTACCTATATCCCCGATACCATAAATTCCTATCATGTTGACATCAGACCCATCTCCAAGGAGAGATTTCACTCCTTGCACTGCATACTCCAGCCCAATTGCATTATCAGCAACATGTAAAGGGATGCAATTTACCTTTTCAGAGATCTCTTCAACAATCTTACTGATAAACTCATATTCTGGTTGAGACCTATCCATTATAAGAAAACGATTGAACTAAAACTGAAGCATCATATTTGAATTTAGTTCATTCATTTCAATCACATCTAATCACTTTAAATTTTGCATCTATTTCTCAAATTTAATAGATCAAGATATATACGATTTATTCCACTTTCTTTCCCTATTAGCATTAACACGAAAATTATCGGCAAAACGAGAGTTTATAACATATATATGTGTAATAAAAGGATAGTATGAAATACCCATGTTGGAAATGCCAGCCCGATAGATTAGCTGCTTCATGTAAGGCCTTCCTCCATTTCTGTCCCTTCTCATTGTCAGCGTCATTGTAGAACTTAGTTTCGTGTTTTGACAATGCTTCTGCACAAATTCCAGTCTGATGTCGAATTTCCGATGGATCCACTCCATAAAATATAGGATAAATTGATCGACCTTCTTTCTTTGCGCATTCAAGGATCTTTACAAGTTCATTTAAGCAATAGGTTGAAGATGCATAGTTTTCGGAGAAGACAATGATGGAAATCCTTGAATTTTGAATTGCGTGAAAAAGAGCAGGAGTAATCTCTTCCCCTTTTCTAAGACCTTCCTGGTCGATGAAAGTACGAATCCCCTTTTGGCACAAGGAATGGTAGAGATTGTCAGTAAAGTGAAAACGAGTGTCTTCTCCTCTAAAACTTAGAAAGACATCATAAATCCATGTGGGCCTCGAGGAAGACAAGGATGGTGCGATTCTCAGTGCCATGATTTAAGAAACTTCAAAATACTATGAAGGATGAGAAACTTGAAAAACAATTCGATTGCAGTAAAACAAGGTTGTGATCAGTGAGGGGCAATTAACAAGTAGTTGTATTATATTTGACATGAAGATTTGGAGGGTGAATTCAGCTTTTGCAACGGCAGAGTTGCTGGAAAATATTCTGACGATATTAGAGAAAAGTCATGTATAAACGAGTGAATGGATAGGGACAAGGATTCATCGACGATTGTTTGTCTTATTGCACAAAAGATTTCACTTTTCTAGTAAAAGAAACTGTACCAGTTACTCTGAAAGAAATTTGTATGACTCCATATATGATTATATAATTGTAAGACAATTTCTAAGAGTTATTAAATTGAAATGTTTAATGTACATCCATATCTCAACTACCTTACAAAGGGAAAAAAAATCAAATTTATGATATACATAACGTGATAAAACGAAAAAGATAATAACTTTTAAAAATATATGTACACATATCATTGTTCTTATTGAATTGTCAAATATTTTAAGTGATATAAATAATTTCAGACTAATTCAATTAATAAATAAATGAAAACACTAACTTAATAATTAATTAATAAACTAAAAGGGCATCTCCAATAAGTTATGTAATTGTCAAATTGATGTAGTAATACTCGTGAAGTTTGTCGTACATTCACTTAAGTCAAATTCATGACAGTTAACGAAGCGGGAATTCACTTAAGTCAAATTCCAAACAGTCAAAATAAAGAAAAATATACCTCAAACCAATTGTCAAAATTTCAACTCAATATGACAGTTAACGAAGCGGGAATCACATTTTTTCCAAGATGACTCAGACTAGGAAAACATGGTGGCGCCCGACATTGGGAAAGTGGTGCCCGACAGTATACCAAAATACTAAACTCCCTCTTTATGCTTTGATTGAGTAATTTAACACCTCTTAAGTGAAAGTACATAGGGAAACACTAGAAGGGGGTGAATAGTGTTTCTAAAATTTTTGAATATAACATCTTATAGGTTTTCAAAGGATTAATAAATAAGGCATATGTTTAGAGGATAACATAGAAAAAGGTTAACAAAAGTTTCTAAAGAATGAGAATAATAAGGCACGGTGTTTATATTGGTTCACTCAACCTGAGCTACATCTAGTTCTCTCTTAAGAACTCTTAAGAGGTTCCAGTATTCTCATAAAATATTACAATGAGTTTAACCCACTCTTGGTTGCAAGTATTCTTACACCACTCCTAGTTTCCCTAGTCAACACAACTAGTTCGAGTTTAGCCACTCTTAGATCTAGCCTTAGACAACTATCTAGACCGATTATTCTTACTCCACTTCGGATTTCATGTATAACTCATCCTTGGTTACAAGTATTATTACAACTCCTAGTCCCTTAGTCAATATTGACTAGTCCGAGTTTACCCACTCCTGGTTGAGTATTATAGTTGGCAATCCTACACAATTCTGGTATCTACTTGACATGTTGCCTAGTTGAATATCACCCACTTTTGGTTATAAGTATTTTAGTTCTCTCCAGAACTTACAATAAATCAACGATAGTATTCTTACAAGATACAAATTAAAATCTCTCAATGAGAGCATACAATATTAGTATAGTACAATCTGAAATCTTGTTTAGTTACAGACTTGGGTAACTCTTTGGGAGAGGATAAGTGTATTGAAGCACAGTCTGATAACTAGTGAGGTTCTTCCTTTGGACAAAAGAGCATCAAACGATGTAGACTTGAAAAGTAGCATAATGTCTTTCAATCAAATTTTTGGTGCTTGCTCTTTTTCTCTTCTTTTCTTCTCTTCGAATAAAGTTGTCCCTTTTTGCTTGAAGATCATTAGATGATATAAGCTTTGAGATGAGACAAAGTTGATGATGATCTTTCTTGAACATACTCTCTCTTTTTCTTTTTCATCTCTCATTTCTTTTAGTATATTCTTCAACAACCTCTTTTGATTGAAGAGCGGTTAGACGATATGAGAATTGACATAGAGATGGTATTCTAAAATTTTTCTTGGATATTCTCTCTCTTCATTTTTCAGCTCTTCTTTTTTTTACTCTCACATCCTCCTTCCTTTCTTTTTCTTCAACTCTTTTTCTTTAACTTTAACAACTTCTTCTTTTTAGTTGATCTTCTTTATATAGGTGATAACAGTTGAAAAACTGTTATTTTCATGCTTGAAATTGATACTAAAAGCAACCTTTAACACTTAGAAACTAGCTTGAAATCATGCTTTTATTCATATTTTCAGAAATAAGAGAGTTGGACAGGTTTATGCTTGATTTTAGTGTTTTTGTGTAGGTTTTAAGGTGAATTTGGTGAAAGAAGTGAAGAAGGAGAGAGATGAAATCATAAAAGACATCAAAAAGTGCAAAAGGAGAAGCCGCAACTTCCGCTCAGTGGCAGTTTACCGCTGAGCGGCACTCAGAAGCTCACGGGGGATCCGCTAAGGGGCAAAATGGCCGCTGAGGGGAAGAAACCAACTCACGCACTTACCGTTGAGCGGTACTTTACCGCTGAGCGGCACACTTTTGGGCTTGGGCCTAAATTTTCTGTAATTTTAGAATAGTATATAAGCTTTAGGACGTCCTAGGGTTTGTATCTTTGGCAGAAACGAAGCAAACACTCTCTCTTCCACCCCTTTGAAGGAGGATCTTGGATGCTCAGGCTACCTCTTCACCTTTCTAGGGTTTTATCTTTCATTCTTTCATTATTATTCATCTAGTTTCACCATGAATATGGTGAACTAAACCTTGTATTGTTGTTGGGGAATCAATGTAGTCTTGTGAAACTCTCATATATGGAATTTGTTTTTACATCTTATATTTAAGACCTATGCTTTCTTTCATCATTAGTTAGGGTTTTTCCTCTTTGCTCAATGCTTGCTTTGTTTAACTCATTCAATGCATGATTATTGATTTTTTCGATACGGGAACGTACGGGGAAGTCTAGATCCGGGGAATTTCTCCCAATAGTATATTGGTTGTCGTTAAGCTCCTGCACTAAAAGAACTAATTATTAGGAATGCTAGGAATCGTATGAACTCGTAATTAGGGATAGGCCTTCTTGCAAGGTAATTTAGAGAGTGGCATTAACAATGATGAAAAGAATGTTGAATTCCTAAAGTATATGAGAGTGGATAAGATGATAACCCCTACAACATACTCATCCATATATTCCATTGAAGTGTTTGTATTTTGTTTTAGCCATTGATCACATTCATGCATACATGTTTATTTTCTGTTTTGCATATTAAACTTCACTTATTTCGTTCTTAAGTCTTAAATAATCAACAAATCACATAACTAAACTAGGCCGTGAGTCCTTTGGGAGAACGATACTTGGTCTTACCGAGTTTATTACTTGAAACGATTCGGTCACGCTTGCCGATTGTTCAACAAGTTTGTGGCGCCAATAGGCTTTCTTGAGAGATGATCATTAGATGGAGAAGTTGACTTCTGAAGAGCTGGTAGCCTTTTGATGTGAGGTCTGACTTTAGTCTACATTATAGGGTTCAGAGCTTTTTCTCATAACCTTAAGTGAAACTTGAACTTGTACGATATGACAGAGCAAATGGCTTCAAGGGAAAAATTTCCAGAATGTTCTTCTTTTCTCGCAACGTCTTTTTCTTGGGTGTCATGATTCTGATCATATCTTTCTTTTTTATTGATCTGCACGAATATCAATAAACAAAGTATACAAGCATTGAAGTACTTTTTCGTACATGCATTAAATGTTTTGAACGTTGATAAACGTTAATTATCATTTCTTACTTAAAACACGTTATCATTTGTCTTGTCAATAATACATGTTAATGTTCAAGTACAACGTTCAAATATTGACAGACGGTGTTAAGTGTTAGACACTTATAAATGAAAAGCAATCTTGAGATATAGTCTATAGCGCGCTTTTCATTAGACGATGTTTCTTTATACAACATTTTCTCTTACAATACTGATTGGATATATAAAAGATTAGGCTTCAGTGTTTTATCTCTTCTCAAGAATAGATATGTCAATTTCAAAGCTTGAGAACTTATCATAGTGTTTCATATACCTTCCTTAGACAATATCATTTATAAGAATTTTTTTTTCATTTATAACAGGTTTGGGACCACGTCTTATTGTTCATAGCTAATATTCATTAGACGATGCCTATAGTAAAGCATTTTTATTCATTGCGAGAGATCTTTCTGCATATTGTTTTACAAGGTTCATTCAGACACTTTTTCATTTCAATACTTTATGAATAGATATTTTAAACACAATGTCATATCAACTCATGTAGGATTTTCCTTGTTAGTCAGACACTTTCTTTAAATATCTTGTTAGATGATATAGATTTTAGGGAAAGTGTTGTTTGTAAATACTTTTTCTTTTATGATAAGATTTGTAGATTACCGCTTAGACGCTTTGAGCATTAGTTAGGCTTTTGATTATTAACCAAACATCTAGATGATCCTATTAAGTAGATGTTTTTAGCATATAATGTTCAGACATTCTCTATTTTGATCACTCAAAGATATACTTATGTTTTCTTCTCTTACATGCTTTCTAAGACAATATTTCGTTGAGTATTGTTTGATAAACTTCAAAACTTGAGTTTCTAGATATTATAATTTTATCTCAACATTAAGTAATCCCTATTTAAAAGTACTCTGAATACATAGAAAATTTAGGTTCTTAACTCAAGTAGTGTCATATTATTCAATTTAAGGATCTCAAAGAGGCATTCCTAAAACAAACCAACATATCTTTTCAAACCATATACATAAGTAAAAAGATTCAAAAATACTTAAGAAAATAGACCCACTCGCCTAGCTAACAGACCCTGCTCGCCCAACTAGAGGCAAAACAACAAGTTTCCCAAGCTGAGCGAACTAGCTCGCTTAGCCACAACGAATATCTCCAAAAAACCCCAAATACTCGCCCAGCTAGTCATTTATGCTCGTCCAACGAGAGCCAAAACAACAAGCTCCCCAAGTTAAGCGAGCTGGCTCGCCCAGCCTTTGAAACTCACTTTCAAAACTCCTCCACACTCGCCCAACTAGCCAATTATGCTCACCCAGTCGGACTGCATAATTATGCAGCACTAAAACTACAAAATTAGCACTTCTAGACCACCTAGTACCTTTTCTAACCACTTTTACCAATTTCTAACACTCCTAGATTGGATTATAAACTATTTTAGACT